TTTAGAGATTATTCTTCCTTAACACCACATAATAATAATAATAATAATAATAATAATAATAATAAAAGATCCTCCAGCCTCTCTTCTTCTGCAATTTTAACCGTTTTGGTACAGTCTTGATGGGTTTCTTAAAAGTGGCGGCTTTTAAGTGTGGGTGTAAGTGGGCACTCACAGGGTGAATGTCAATGAAAAGGCCGTGCTCCTCCTCGGTGGGGTGAAGACCCAGCACGTAGTCCAGCAGCACAGGATCAGCATTAAAGAAGTGAGGATGAGAGATGAAGACCGGAGAGTCTAAAAATGGACAAAAACAATGGTGCAGTTATTTCTCTAAACCACAATGCCACAACATAAATCTGCAGCAAATATGCTTCTTCTGCAAGAGCAATGTGCAGAAACCCAAACCAAATGTGAGAGCAAATAAGAATTTCAGCTCAAAAAATGTTTTAATGTCAAAAGGAGGAATCTACTTAGAACTCAAAGGGGAAGTTTAATTTAATTCAATTTATTCGATTAGGACAGTGTGCATTAGTCAACATTACCTCAATGTATGGCAGTGTAAATATGCAGGAATTAGCACAATAGCTACATTTCACCCTTTGTCCTAAGACAAGTGAGCACAAAAAACAAAACACTTAACTATACAATTCACAGGACGGAACACCGTACACACAGTTCTATTCAAAGAAGTAAAACAACATCAACAAAAGAAAACATTTACACAAGAAACAAATAACAAAAACATAGAAATGGATACAAAACCCTTCAACATGAGGCATTAAGTAAGAATTACTTCCCCCCCCGCCCCCATGTAAATCAGCCTGGAGGTATAAAGTTATTAATCACTAGCCTTCACTATGCTGCTGTAATTTAAAAAAAACAACAACAAAATAAAATTAGGCTTACTACTGCTTACAAAGAAAAAAAAATGAAGCTGAGAAGGCACAGAGATCAGGAATGTTAAAGGTAAATCAGTGACCTTTGTAATGGTATGATCTGCCTGTACTTACTGTAGCGGCAGCTACTGACGTTGAGCAGCCCAGACTGCCTGCAGGGGCAGAAGCCTTCATTTGGAGGATAATCCGTCCCATTCGCAAACATGGTCTTGGGAGCAACGAATCGATACAGAGGGATGCCGTTCATCACGCCTGATCGCTGATACACGAGCTCCAAAGACCTAAAATAACAGTGAAATTAAATACAGGAAATTATACAGGAAATAAGAAGAAGTTTCACGGAGGATGTGGGGAAATATTCGTACCTGCAGGCATCTGGACTGTAGAAAGGTAGAGTGGTCTCTTTTGTCATAAAAGGAGGCCACAGCTGCCCGGCTGTTCCATTGATCATGTTACACTGAGGTGTCCTCCAGTAGCTCAGCTGTTAAGGCAAAGGGGATCCAATCAGGTAGGAAAAGCATCCAGTCATTAAAAAAAGTTAAAAGGGTGACTTAGAGTGCTAGATCAGGGTCTAAAGCTGAAACATTTGTTACATTTTCAGCTGCTGCGATTCTTTTTCACACTGCACTGTGTCAAACAAACCAAACTGTTTGAAAAACCTGTTCCCCCCTTCGCCTGTGGTGGCGCTGCAACAAGAACACTGAAGGAAACGGAACAAAAACCTCCAAATTTGACACTGGGTGCAACTTTTTTCTTCCCAAAATGTGAACAAAAATGGAGCAGCTTCATATGTTAGCAGTTGGAGGATTTCTATTTTGTTTTCAGCAAAAGACCATGAGCCATTTCTCCAGCTAGCGCTACACAAGGTCTGGTTGTATTTACCCAGAATGCCCTGCGCTGGTCTAGTTCACAAAAGCATTCAAACTGCACCAGAGTTCACTTCAACTGGACTTTTGAGACAAATAACCTGTAGTTTGATTAAACCAGACTTAACAGAGCTGATGTGAAAGTGGTATTATTTTTGTCTTTACCTCAGTGAGGCCATTCCAGGAGTCGACTTTGTGGACGTTTTTGATGTTATCTCTCCCGGTGTGGATGGTGAATAGACCAGTATTGGAGTTATTAAACTGATAAAAAATAATAATAATAAAAACAAAGTCAGAACTAGAAAACAAGCGGTGCAAAGAGAATCGAGATGTAATCATTGAAAAACTTACAGTCAAAATGTTAGTAGCATTAGTGGGGGGGAAAAAGAGTCCTAAACTTTAGCATTTAAAATAAAAGCCACTTTATTACTTTATACATTTCCCTTTGATTTATTTATTTATTTATTTATTTTGCTTCAGTACCACATCTGCTGTGAAGCCATTATCCTTTTACCAAAAGGCCAGGTTGTAGGGGTGAGATTAAGTCTTCCTTGTTACAAATCTGCTACAAACACTGAGTAATGTGTGACAGCATCATTTTCAGTGCACCAGGGATGAACAATTCCATTTGAGTCAATTATCGCATGAAAAGTTGTGTGTTTGCACACACTTTTGCAAACACACTTTGCAAAAGCCAAAGTGTGTAACCTTGTCCAACCTCCTGATGGGGTAACGCAAGGCTCAAGTCTTCCAGTGTCCTGATTATATAAGAGTAAAAACAAGAAGAAAAAGAAACCCTGAAGCAACGACAACATGGCTGGGATTCAAAGAGAAAGCCACCAATTGCCAAGAAGAACAATGCACTTTATAAAATACAGTATGTACAAGTCAGAAAGAGTGTGGTAGTAGTGTTTTAGGGAAAAATAGATCTTTAAAGTTTCTGCCTGTTTAAACAGAGATAAAGTTCTCTGCAGCACAACAGAATGTGTAGAAAAATGAAAGGAAAAGAAAACAAATACTCACCTCTGCAAAGAGGCCAAACTTTCCTGTGAATGGCAGCATGCCAGGGAGGTACTTGTTGAGGAACTCGACCAGTTTGCTGTCATAGCCCCACATCAACTCTTCCACTGTCTTGGTCAGGAAGGGACCTTCCTTGAACATCTTGAAGGTGGCGCTGATCAACAGCCGTAAGGCATAGGGCAGGTCCTCCAGCATCACCGCTGCACCCTGCAAGCAAGGGTTGGAGTCAAAACACAAAGCTCTGAATGTGGGGGAAATATTAAGGAAATATGAAAAGACTTTGGAGCACGCTCTCATACCAGCACCAACATGTTGGGAATGGTGATGATGTCAGACTCGTTCCCAACGGACATGGAGGGCTCAAAGAAGTATCTGCGGTACTCTCTGTAGGACACGGTGCTGTTGGGGTGAAACGTGATGTTTTCCTTCCTACACTGCTTTCTGGAACGTAGGAATGACACAGGAAGTGATCTAACTGGCAAATCTGTGAAAAAACTGAGCTCCTCTGTCAGGGGGGTTTTAGTGCTGTCAGTCATGTCCATGTCCCCAGAACCTGTCATGGCTGATAAGGCTAGTTAGCATGGTCACCCATGGTGGTTGATAAACAGTTTTCCTGTAATGGTTTAAAGTAATTGCAATGAGTATTATCTTGAGCAGAATTTCAAGACTTACACATGATTTCTGACAATGAGCCAATCAAACAGCAACCAAAGGACAGGTTTTGTTATTTAAAAGCAGCCAGACGTTTCAAGGTCTTGAGTAAACCAATCAGGAGTTTGATGACTATTTACTTTAACTACAGAGTGCCTAATCAATGTATTCTGATTGAGTTGTGTTCCCAATCCCTGTTTTCAGTGGTTAATTAAAAACCCACATAAAAAATTAAATTGACATCTTCAAACAATGATTATCTGAGTAAATACAAAAAAGCTGTTTTCCTAAATTCTTCATTTTATTTGGTCAACCAAATCAACCTGGAGATGTGTGAATGTAACTGCTTCCTTTTTAAATGACTTCACAGCTTTTTGTGATCAGTTTTAGATAAAATCACTTGGAAATTAATAAAAAAAAAAAATAAAAAAAACGTGTATCGCTGTCAAATATCATCCCATCAATGCATGACAGGAAGTCACTCACTCAGGAAGTCAGCAAAAATCTAGGACACACAAGCTACTTTCGTTTCAAAGAAGTGTTAATTTTTTTTTTCAAACTCAAAATGTCTGAAAGTATCCAAACATAATCAAATGCAAAAATTCTCTCTCCACAAAGCCCAAAGAAATCTAACATAAATCTCAGTGGATTATTTCAATTAAAGTGTTTATCAATCAATCAATCAAATTTTATTTGCATAGCATATTTCAGTAGCAATATGCTGCTGAAATATGCATTTGCATATGCATTTCAAGATGCATTACATAATTAAAAAACAAAATAAAAACAGCATGTGACATTGAATAAACGGTAAGAAAGAGAAAGAGATTTTGGAAAAAAAAAACAAAAAAACATCCATCCATCCATTTTCTGCCGCTTATCCGGGATCGGGTCGCGGGACAGCAGCTTCAGAAGGGAACATAAACAACATAAAAACATAAAAAAGATAAAAACATACACTGCAAAAACCCAAAATCTTACCAAGTATTTTGGTCTAGTTTCTGATGCAAATATCAATACACCTAAAATGAAATTGATATACAAGTAACTTTTAAGCAAGTCAGTAATTATTTAATTTTGATGAAAACTGATTCCACTGGCAGATTACTTTAATTTATAACAGGAAAAATATGTTGTTATAAGTAAAATAATATGCCACTAGAACTAGTACTTTTTATCAATATTAAGGAATTATTGCCAAGCTCCTACATCTTGCTGAAAAGTTACTTGTAAACTAGTTTTGTCTTATTTCAAGTGGACTAGACCAAAAATACTTGGTAAGATTTTGTGTTTTTGCAGTGTATTCCCAAGGAACAGCAGTTCTCATGCTCGGTCCTGCATTAAAAAGCAAGTTGAATTCCATGCATGCAACATGTAGAACTAATGGGGGGCAAAGCTGCAGGCCTGGAGGTGCAGCAGTTCTGTACCTGTACACATACGGTCCTCTCTGCTCCACCATAGGCTTTTCTCCCTTCAGGATCTCCTCAGGGTTGAGGACATGAAAAAAGTAGACGGACATGAAGAAGGGCACAGGGAGGTCCTTCCACATGGTGTAGGAGAGGTCATTCTTTGGATCAATGATGGTGTTCTGACATGACAAAAGAGAGAGAGGGGGAAGGGGTCATTATGGATAGAAAATGTATTTTAACACAATTGCTGCAAATCATTAAAAATTTTACTTTTTTGATTAATCACAAAAAAACACACAAACTGTTTCTTTAATGTAAGTTTTGATTATTATTATTATTACAGCAAATAAAACCAAAATATAGTTAACTATGTATTTATAGTGTCTCTCTTAAAATGTCTACAACATTCAATCAGTTGACCTAAGATGAAAAGGGCATTGTTCCCATGATTGGCTCTGATTGGTAACTGCCAGGAGGGAAAATCTACTCATTAAATGTGTAAATGCACAAACCTTAGAGGGGAAAAAACAATCAAGATACATTTGACAAATACATAGGGATAATCTTGTGATTTCCTCATTTTCTGGTGGATTCAAAACAACTTCCTCTAATTCTGCCTGAGGGTTGAAGGCTGAACTGCAACACGTTTTCTTCTGAATAACTTTAACAGATTAAATGTACAGTAATAAGATACTCAACAACATGTAGACATACATGTACCCAAGTTTAGTTACTTAAGTTAACCTGATTTTTTTGTTTGTTTTTGTTTTAAACTGACTGTACTTGCTTCGGATTTTAACTATGAAAGCAATTTTGCAGCTTAAATCTTCATGTTTTCCCTCTTTTGTCTGTGTTTCAAATGTTAAGAACGTGAAACTTCTTCCTCCTCAGACCGCTCCAAATTAGTAATTATTTTTGCATGTACTTAGCATCTAATGTAAATTACGGTATTTCTAATCCTTATCTGACTTAAAGTGTTTATTTATTTTAAAATAAACGTTCTCCATAAAACGTGACAAAGTTTCCTTGTATTCTAATGTCCAAAACTCTAGGCATTTTGTCCAATAAACTATGCATGCTTTGGCTGACAAGCATTGTGAATAAATACCCTGACAATATACTCATGTATAATCATAATTTTTTTTATTGTCCAGTTGGTATGTGTTCCAATTATGTTTTGATATTAGAAATAAGTTACAAAAAATGTATATTTCCAAATCCATTTATTTTTTAAATTAATAAATGATGGTGGAAAATGTCCAATATTGGCCAGTCATCTTTAGAAAAATCTTTTTTTTTTCACTTACAGTGCCACTCACTCCTTTTGTTGCTACATACCTTTTTGTTACAACAGTTTTGCAACAAAGTGTTTTTGCTTGTAGACAAATTTCAAATATGGCTTCACCTTCGACTATGTTTTAACTAGAAACATGGCCAGACCATAATTTAAAGCATTTACATTTGTACAAATTTAACAAAAATATACTACTGTATTTAAGATAGTTTTAATTGAAATTTTCTGAAGCTGTCTTGAAAGTGAACTTTGTGAATAAACTCAATCTAAAGCTGCCTCATGTGGCCTCACAAAGCTCAGTTTTGTAACAAGGAGATCTTGACAGATGGCCTGATGATCTAAAACAGATCACATTTTATCCCCTTACGAAATCGTTTTTTTTTTTTTTTTTTTTGGCTTGGTTTTTTTCTTACATACAGTCAGTGTTATTAACAATTCAATAGCTTAATTAAAGCTCACATTAAAAAGTTATTAGCGTTAAACAAGCAAAATAAAAAATAAAATAAAAAACTCCATAGTTTTCACCCTGAACACAGCTTCATATTTCTGCTTTACTTTATTTCTTTATCTAAGCTGATAAAAGTCCTGTGTGCGCATGTTATCATGTAGAGGTTGCGCGCGCGCTCTTCTGAAGTCCTTTGAAACTCAAACTTTGACTTCAAGTCCATCAGCAAACAGAAATACCGGCTGTAAATATGCTAAACATCAATGTAAGAACGCTTCTTACCTTTACTACTTGGTCATCGATGATTACTGGCCCCACAAAAACGAGAACGATACCGAAAAACGCAGTCAGGACACCTACTACTATGAATCCGGCTGAGACTTTGGATTTATTAACAGCCATCCTGACACTGACAGCTTGACAGGGCACCACTGGTAGTGTTTACGGCACAAAAGTAGCTTTCTTTGTCTGCAAGCTGTTTAGCTGTGCCACGACACGAAGTTAGCTGCCTGTAAACGACCTTACGGTGTCTCAACATGAGACGAACAGCTTCGTTTCTGGTATAAAAAAAACCCCCTGATGTTTCACCGGCTCGCTCATTCACCTTTTTGATTAACGACTCCCATCTGAGACCACGTCCCAGTGTTTATAGTCTAATGGTGACACCTCTACTTCAGCAGCCGAGGATTCTGGGAAGCGTAGTTCCTGCTAGCTACTCTTCCAAATAGAGCTGTGGGTGTTTGCTTAATGCAAGGTACAAAACTTTCAGTATTAAAATTTCAGTAAAACTCACTTTGTTCTTTATATAATATGTTTGAACTATTTTTTGGAATGAAGAAGTTAGATATAGTTATAGATATTTTATACACATGCGCACACACAAGTTTGAATTTACCTAAGATAAATTAGATTAAATAGGCTTTTGCAAGATCTGTCACAATAGCAAAATTTTCTGGAAGATATATTTTTGCCAGTAATTATTGGCAAAAATAAACAGTAATATTGTTGTTTTGAGACCATTTTCAAGAAATATATTGATAATGGCATAATAATGCAAGTTCACCTTCTCAAAGTCCACAGTACACACAAGCTAAACTAATACAATGAATGTCTCTGTAAACAAAAGTGCCCTTCAAAAAATATTATTTATTAGAATGGAAATCATTAAGCTCATCTTAATTTATCATATGATTCATTGATTCATTATTGCAACAGGCTTAACTGTGTCCACACAATGTTAGCAGGCCATCAACAAACTTCTAGCAAGGTAAGGTAAGGTATGGTAATTTTATTTATACAGCACATTTTCAGCAACAAGGCAATTCGAAGTGCTTTACATGAGTTAAAAGGAAATACAAACAAAATAACAAACCAAAGGAAAGAAAAAAGAGAAAAGAAAACTAATCTAATGTTGTTCCACCCTGTTAGGTTCATGAACCTAACAGGGTGGAAATTAGGGTGAAAAGTGATTCATTTTAAGTAAAATAAAAAATGTCAGACAATGGAATAGAGTTGCAAAGTAGTCTGAGGTATTAACAGATGTCTTTGCCATTTGTTGGTTTTCATTTCACTTGGTACCCCCATTGACTCCTGTGAGGGGAACAATGAGTACCTGTCATGGGAAAATCCATTACAGGGATGTCACCTGTTTTTCCCAAAAAGCCCCAGGACAAATACTATGCCTATACTTTGACTTGAAAGAGGCAATTCTGCAACCAATGATGAAAATCGTCAGATTTTAGAATTGAAGACATTGATTTTTCCACCTTGTTATGGGACAATCCAGTATGTTATGTTCCATTCCACACATGTTTTTATTAAATATTGTTACAGAAACATTAAATACTGTGAATTTTTCTGTGCCATGTTGGGAATTGAAGACCAGTAAATGCACATATTGATATAAGTTTTTAAAATTAACAATATTTTCAATGCTGTCAGTAATAATGAGTAAAAAAAAAAAACAGTTTACAATACAGACACAAATGATTTGTAACTACATGATGTGTTACAATTTCAAGAATAAAACATATTATATAGTAAAAGGGACACACTCTTTTTAAGAAAAAGTTGTTATTTTTCAAAATTTAAATGTTTAACTATTTGTGGTCTATATGTAAATGTTCATAACAGGATGGAACACATTCAGAGACAATGGTGAAAAAAACACCTGTAATTATTAATTTATCCAATCCTGAGCTTGCCCATTCATTTCTTATTGTTAAACATGTCAGTGTTGTAACACAATATTTAAAACTTAAAACATTAATACTTTTTTTTTTTTTTTTTTTTTTTTTCAAAAATCCTGAAGCCGAAATGTTGCCGCAAAGAAAGGAATCACCCATGAGTCGGTATAGAACTTAGCTTACCTTCACTACTTGGTTCTTCATAACTGTTGGCCCAATAATTGCAGAAATTATTCCAAACATGAGAGACAGAGCACCTGCAGCTATAAATCCGATGGCTACTTTAGATTTATCGATGACCATTGTTTTGGCATCAATAATCAGCAGTGTGTGAGAAAATAAGTGTAATAAGGCAAGACTCTCTGGAAGGAAATAAATTGAGAGTGTTTTGTCTTAAGCTCCAAACATGAACAACAGTGAAGTCGAAGGAAACTGCTGTTGGGCTGTTGAGCTTGTTTTATACTCAGCGGACCCTCCGCGGCCCCACCCCACATCCTCACCCCATCTTCATTACAAAATCCATGCAAATTCATCCAAGTCACATTTTAGTCAGATGACTGCTGTAGCTGTCAGTGTCTGTTTTAGGCAACTTTGTTTGGGAGGTTTACCTAGCAGTGATAGAGTTGATGCTGCTGTGTGTCTGTTTGTTTGTCAGATGAACTTTGAGACACAAGTTAGCCAGTGGAATAGACCCAAGGAGACAGGAGATAACTTGAGTACACAAACAAGCTTAGAAAAGTGAATCAGTCAAACACAAGGGCAGATAAAGTAGATTGCAAATACTCAGTCATAGCACAGCAGTGGGGGTTTCTGTAAATCTGCTTTTAATCCTATGTATCTATTCCTGTTTGTTGCAATTAAAAAGGTAAAGTAGCCGTCAGCATGTATTTTCAACCCAGGAGTTCTGCTGGAATATGACTCAGGAACTTTGATTCCACTATCAATGCAAAACAACAGGCAGGAATTTACCCCACTCAGCAATCTTTAACTGGATTTTTCTAGCCTGTCAGTGGCATTTATCATTTTCAAAAACACTAGAGCTCAACGTCCCTGAACTCTGCCGAAATATTCCGTAAAACGTCCCCTACCTGTGATCGCAAACATGAGAGTGGATCACTTGTAGAGGACATTTCTACCATTTCTGCATGACAAACAATCCACAGGGAATAGACTTCTGAGTAATATGTCAATGCCCAGTTGTCCTTGCAAAGTCGACTAGTTTTACATGCACAGGGAGAAACTGCAAGCTTCATGCAAGGCAGTATTGCTAACAACTGCAATGCCATGCAGTCCCTCATACTTTGCATTGAATTGGGTGACTGTGGACGCAAATTGACGGTTCAGGGCAAAGTGGTAGATTAGCAATAAACTGTTGATGCATTCAATCATCATAATAATTTCATATGGGTTTACACATCTCTATTTTATCGTCTGGACTCTGAACATTTTCCTTTAAAGGTGGTTTAACTGGTAGATTAGTGTCTAAAGAAGCATCCTGCATATTTAAGATAAGGTTGCAATATCAACAGGTTAAGCCAGGGGTCCCCAAACTTTTTCCTGCGAGGGCCACATGACTGTTCCCTTTTCTGGTCGGGGGCCGGTCTTAGTTTTTCGAGAAAGAAACCTTAGAAAAGTTTTGTTGACGGGGGGGGGGTGAAACTGTGGAGCGGGGGGGTTATTGGATTACTGCCGACGACATATTCGCGTTTATAGATAGATTTTTACCCAGAATGCAAATGGAAAAAACCGTGAGCGAAACGGTGACTGGTACTGACTAGTATATATTCCATTGAGGGAAACTAGGTGGTTGAAGAAAAATCCACATATATATGAAAAAAAAAACACTGAATGCTCTCTGGTATTGTNCAGGNGGCCGGACCAAATGAGGAGGCGGGCAATAAGTTTGGGGACCCCTGGGTTAAGCGGACAGAATAAGTGTGATTATAATTTATTTTGAAGTGAATAATTGCTTAGGATTGCGTTGACTAAAGTCTCTGCCTATGGGCTCTTTGGAACTATGCACTCATAAAACGATCATGTTTCTGATGCACACGGCAACAAATGCACAATTTTTCTAAAACAATTTTGATTCTCCTGCGACCCAAAATCCCAACAGAGAAGTTCAAGGTTCTTTGAAAGAGGATGCGTCATCTCATGTTGTAGTTAACCACATATAACCCACAAATATCACGGCTCCAGTCAAACTGAAGATCACTTGAAAAACTGCAGAAGGAATGACGTCTGAGTTGCAGTTTGTGGGTTACAGCCACAAAAATGTCAATAAGTCCAAAAGACCTGTCTGAATATCAAAGAGATTTATTGATGGAGTTGATAGTATCAAGTTGAAGTTTTTGCCCCAGCCATCACCCATTTGAGTAGATTTACATGACATTTAAAGTTTGTCTGTTTCCATTTCAGCTCACTCTCTGTCCATTAGATGAAGGTTCTTCCATTCCCCTGCAGGCTGAAGTTCTGCTGCTGCTTTGTCCTGGTGCTGTCACAGATCATTAACTTGTTACAAACTGATATCTACTATCCGTTCAGGGTACTCTACAAATATATAAAGCATTTACTTGCTTAAGTGGGAATCATAATCTTAGCAGATTGTAATCTGGTTTGTTGCTGAGCTAAGCTAAACATCAACACTTAGGTTGGTGTAGATCAGACCGGCCTGTTTTTCTTTCGATGTAAACCTTGTTTAAACAATGTTTGAAGAGATAATAATGTTGATAACAGGTTTTGTAAAATGTAAGATTTTTTTTTTCTTTGAGTATTTATAAGTTCATACAAATATATTGCTTTTTATTATTTTTTTTTTATTATTAATTTTCCTCAGAAAAATTGAATATTTGAAAGCATGCATTTTTTAATGAATTGTTCTATTTATTTTTAGGTGGAAATTTGTAACAATTTTCCTGACTTGAATAAAATAATGTCCATAGAATTTTGTGTCACTAACATAATTTATAATGAAAAAAAAGACAATTTTAAAGTAAAAAAAAATAATAATAATAATAATTAAAAATTAAAAACCAGAGTAAAAATTGAACATTTACATTATAAAAATGTAAAATTTTATATTAGGTAAACTTGATGTAGTAATGTAAAAACTTAAGTTTCTGTTAACCTTTAAGAAGTTAACAGAAAACTTTTATAAGTTTCTTTTAACTAATCATTTTTAGTTTAATATAAATGCTAAAGAAGTATTACGTATTTTTGAATTTGACACTTTAATTGAGTTGAAGCAACAAGGCTAATCTGACTCAAGTTGAGTGAGCAAATTTTATTCACACCGACTGTTTACAATCATCCATTATTTTTTTGCAGTTCAAAATAAGTTCAATCCAAGCATAAAATGAACGTTAGTTATTTCAGGTCCTGAGCCCAAGAGAATGCCAACATGTTGGTGCTGAATTCAGATAAGGAACGTATCAAACCAAAGCTGTTTTCTTCTGTTAATTCTTATCCTGAAGACCTTTT